TATTTTTCCTTGTCCAGAGACCAGCAATAATGCAGCCTCAGAAAAAGAGCCCATTTTCTAAACTCAGGTGAGAACTTTTTCTTGTTTTGCCTGGAGTGAAGGCTGATCCTAGAGAGACTGGTTTTGTTAATCAATTATTTATTTCCCTTGTATGGGCTCAAGCAAAGAGGGGTGTATTTGTCCATAGAACTGAGATCCATGGTCATCTCCAGCATTAGACATTTCTGAATCCGCCTTGCCAGAAGTCAGGTCTTTAACAATCTCTCTCTTGCTTTCTTTCTAGACTTCTCTTTCACTGCTCCATTTTCTTTGCATGGGATGACAGAAATGGTCAGGTAAAGCTACAAGTTTCCCTCCTACTGCCTTAGCACCCCCATGGAGAGGGAGTTCCCTTTCCTTAGCATCCATGTCAGCACCCTGCCTCTCCCTGGGCTGCTGGGATCAAAGGTGCCTCTGCTCTGGTTACTGCCCTGGGTCTGCACAGGTTCCCCTTGGGGTCATGGCAACCTACCATGGACGGGGAATCTCCCCGAAAGATGCCAGCTAATTCTCACTGGAAGGAGAAAGTGTGAATTTGGGGCAGACAGAGCAATGGGGGTCTACTACCCTGTTGAGGACAAGCCTCACCTCCAACCCAATGACAGCATCCTTACGAATTCCCTGGGCCTCACTCAATAGCTGGTGACAAGGGCCATTTTCCCTACCGGAAAGAAATCGAAACAGCACTGGAAATATAATGAGAGGGAGAGAACTGAATTTACCAGAACTTCTCAAGCTACTGCATTAGAGAGAGGAATGAAAATAGGACTTCTCCATTTAAGAGTTATGGTATATAGCGTCTAGCTATAATTTTATAGAACATATGCCAAATATATATAAAATACATTATTATTCTTTTACTTAACCTTTCAACCATCACTGGGATCCAATTTAAGATCATAATGAAACTAGCAAGTTTTTTCTTTCTTATTTAAACAACTTTATTGAGGCTGAGTTGCATGCAAAAAGCTGTACATATTGATATACAGGACCTGGAGAATTTGAAGACACAGCATCTCGGATGAATGACATTATTTTCTCCAATGTGTACCCACTCTGCTTCCCCCTATTTGTTCTCTGGTTATTTAAAAAACTCAGAGCTTCACATGCAAATCTCTCAAGGTTAGCAAGATCAACCTTCTCCCCCAGCCTCATGGGAAGGGGCTGGCATGGGAGCCCCATCAGCTCTGCAGTGTGGCAGTGTAAGATCTCTCTCTGGCTAGTTTGGAACACTGACAATATGCGGTCCCTTCGTGGACCAGGGGCCTGGACCTGATGTACCTGAACGTCATTCAAAAGAGGACTTCAGTGTGTGGAAGTGGGGTTAAAGATGGGCCCAGAGCTGAACTGTGGCCATTAAAGGGGCCAAGTACAAGATCACCAATTTCACACTAAAGTTTTCTGTTCACGAATGTCCATGATCTGAACTCTTTGGAGCCTGCACTGCAAAGGAAAAGGGCCCAGGGTTATTGTGATACAGTGGACCCTCGAGTTACAACCAGCCTCACATAAGAACAACTGGGTTATGACTGGAATTTTAGTTTTAACTTATGACCAAAGTCTTGTGCTATGACCCAAATGCCAGTCTTTCCTCTGTGGGGTTAATTGTGAAATCCTGGGCCAATGTCTCTCTAAGGACCCTGAGATTTGCCCGGAAGAAAGTATGGTCTAAAATTATAGGAGAGATTTTGAAGGGTTTGTAGAGGAGCCTGAGCCTTCAACTGAACCTGTGGTTGATGACACTATATCAGAGTCCACAGGCTTGCAGGTAGATGGAACTGTAAAACAGAGGAACCTCAGCAACTCCTGACTGAGCAAAAGAGATGGCAGCTGAGGAGCTTTCTGAAGAGGAGGGGGAACATCAACAATCAGTGCAGCAAAGTTCTTCTGAATAAAGAAAACCCTGGAAAAATGGACAGAGCCACAAACATTTGTAGAGAAGCCCCACCCGGATAGGGAAAAAGCCAATAGCTGCATTCACCTGCTTAATGGCAATGTCACGTCATAGTGCAGAACAGTAGAGAGAGAGGACACCAGAGAGCCAGATTCCTGATGCTGTCATGGAAGGGTACTCTCCTTCCAAAGAGTAACCAGCTTCCATTTCATCCTTCCTTCCTGCCAGCCAAAGTGTCAACATGAATGGTGAGTACAGTATGAAATTGTTGTTTCTGGTAAACTAGGCATATTTGATAACTTTTTGGTGAATACACTGGGAACATTATTTGTGTTTCTGGTAAATTATGCACATTATACAACCCTTTTTTATTGTGAAAAGGCTAGTTAAGGGTTGCTTTGAAAGGTTCAGAATGCATTATGGGTATTTCCATCATTTCTTGTGAGAAAAATAGCCTTGACTTACAACCAACTTGAGTTACAACCAGCCCTTGAGGACGAATTGAGTTCGTAAGTCAAGAGTCCACTGTAGCAAGAATTTAGTACTGCACCAAAGGAAACAATTGCCTCAGAGGGATTTAAAGAAAATTACATCTCCGCTGCAGAATTTCCTGGGTTCAGAAAGTCCAAAGATAAAACAGGACACAGGAATTGTTCTTACGTCTTACGAAATGTTCTTAAGATTTTTCATATCCCTCATGTGACAGTACCTCTGAAAGCTAGCTGGGCCTCACTGCTCAGAATGGAATAAAATGGGTGTAGGTTTTGGGTCACTATAGACATGCATAATAGCCAGTACCTGCTCTGCTTGGGATTGGGACCAAGTGAGTTCAAGCTTAGAAATACACTTGGACTTACCATTTTCTTTTCTTTGCTACTATCACCTGTATTTTATGCAAGGATTCTGTTTTAGTCATTTAAATTTTCAAGGCTCCCTGTAGGTATTCAAGCTTGGCTCAAGGAATGAGATTTATTTTTTGTTCCTTTGAAAAAGACCAGATTTGAAGAATTTCCCTGAGGGTCTCAATCAGGTAGTGATTGATTTCAGAAGGGACAACATGCTCAGTCTTGTATTTTTTCCTCTGATTCTTCAGCAGCACATTGCATGATAAGAGCACAAGGTATTTTAGGGTTAACTCCTACAAAATGGTGCAGATGGAGGGGTTGAAGAAACCCTGTGTGGAAAGATCAGTCTACTCACAGAGCTACTGTACCACCTCCCTTACAAACACTCTCTTATGCGGGCATCAGGTGGGCTGAGTTTGAGCGCATCTCCGTTGCCTAGTGCTCAAGACCATGAGCAAGTTCCGGAGCACCCTTGTGCCTTAATGTGCCTCATGTGAAACAGGGCACGTAATACTAGCTGCCTCACAGTAGTTTTGTGAAGACTGATGAAAATATTACAGAAAACACTTAGAACCTACCTGGCACATAAACATTTATAAATACTAGCTATTATGTTTTACTTCTTAAATGATTTTTCCTTTTTGTAGATGAAGAAACTAAGACTTAGAGAGGTCAAATAATTGGGACGAGGTCAGGCAGTGGGCAGGTGATTGAGCCAGGACTTGAAACCAGGTTGTTCCTTCTATATTATGTTGCCTTAAAGGAATTTGTAATGTGGAAATATGCACGTATTTATAAGTAATGATAATTTCCAGCTATCATTCAATCAATCAATCAATCAATGATCATTCAAGGTCAGAGCCTGTCTAGATGGGGAAATGAGAACATTTCATAAAGGGGCAACATTTCTTCTTAGCTGTGTACATCATTTTTTTTTTTTTCTGGTACCGGGGATTGAACTCGGGACCTTGTGCTTGTGAGGCAAGTGCTGAAACTGAGCTAAATCCCTGGCCCTACATCATTTAAATATTGTCAGTCTTGTGTTGACTGAATTGCCTTCTCAGTTATCAGGTGTGGCTTTCAAACTTGACTGAGGACATTTGAAGGAGTTTGTCTTTTATTAGAATTGTGCTGCGCCTGATGTGATTTATATTTTTAAAAAAATCCCTCTGCCCACTCTGTGGAGAAGGGCATGGACTCTTGCTGGGAGCCGATGGTGGAGATTATGTTTGTGCTGGAAAGGAAGAGCAGGCGTTCGCTAAGCCGAGAGAGGGAGGGCATGGTGTTGCGGGAGGATGGGCAGGTGCAGGCTCTGGAGGGGGAGAGGTTGTGCGAGAACAGGTAGACACTGAGGGAGGAGCTCAAGAGGAAGATGAGGTGCAGTGACAGGGCTCCCAGAATATCATAATAACCAAGTGAGTAGGGAGCACCGGCCAGGGTCGACTGAGGGGTTCTGAAGTCTGACTTCCTTGCTGCAGGCATAGTACTTTCCATATGTTACTGCTTTAAATGGAATGCATTCTGTTCTAAGTTTTCCAAGGAAATCTAGAAATTTTTTGTCTACTGATTTTTAAATATTGGCAAGTTAAGTATAAAAGACTTAAAAAAACCCAGTATGAGCTAAAGAAAAGACGTCTGTGGGCTGGATTTGGCTTGTAACTTCCTATATGTGATCTCAGCAGCACGACAACCAACCCAAATGGTGCTGATGTGAAAATTAGGCAAAGACCTTCTCCTCTACACCACACAGATGTCACACGTGTCCGGGGATCGGTGGTGACTGTGAGAAACACAGACAGTACAGTTGTGCCTCATGCATTCCGCACACCTTAGCACCTCTCTCTTTGAACACCAGCACCTCGAGGGAGGAAGTGACAGGAGATGCAACACAGACCCGCATGTGCTGGAGCTGACCCACACGCACTCATCCGAGCTGGCGGGGCCAAGCTGGCAGGGCAGTGCTCTCCCGAACTCTGCACCAACTGACGCACATGACAGCTTGAAACCCATCGCTGTGGGAGCATTTACACCAAGCACATTGGCAAATGCTACGAATCAGAGCTTTATCCAACTGCAGCAACCACTCATTAAACATTTACTAGAACATCACTGGATTAAGTCATAAAAAAGTAATCCTAGAATAACTTTTAAGGACTTTGGACTGGACAAAGGAGAGGTAAGAGAATGATCCAAACAAATCTCCTTCACATTTGAGGGATCTTCATTCAAAGGTCCTTCTGCTTCCATTCTTAACTAAAATTTACATTTTCTTTAGAGCCAGGACTTCTGAACCTTCCTAAGTCGGGGCGGGGGGGCTGTTTCTCTCTTATCCCCACTATGGTCAGGATAGGGGAAAGGGAGGGCGACAGCATACTTTGCTCCTATTTTGCCTCTTCCAGCCTTTGCTCCTCTGGCCTCCACTGCCGTGCCCCTTTGATAATTTTGGCAAATTGCTCAAACTCCCTTTTCTTGACTGCTGAATAGAGCTGCTGTCGATTTACCCAAATGAGAGCTCCGGTCCTCCCTCCTCACCTTTCCACCCACTCCGAAGCCCACCAGCTCGCTGGGAGACCTACATTCACCTGCTTGATCTATTGAGTGTCCCCAATCTCAAAGCCTTGTGATTTGGTCAACTTCAAGGGCCTTTTACTTCTTTTCTTCTTCAGACAACCACAACCACAACCATACTCTGGACTGCAAAGCCAGCTTTGGAATGGCTTCATCTTTGGAGTGTGGTTTGGACAGTCCACTTTCTTCAGGCTTCAGGTAAGGATTAAATGACACGATGTATGGAAAGTGCCTAACCATGCTGGGCTTGCAGTGAACGGCCAACAAATACTTCTTTCTTGGCCCTTTCCTGTCTTTTAAGGACAAGAACATAATTTGGAAGCCCTGGTATCTTTCCCCCCTTACTTTGAATTTGACATAAATGCTCCATACCTTTTATTAAGTGACATCCTCGGGAGTCTGTGCTCTTCTCAGCACCTGGAACTGCTGGCATCCCGTATCTTTGGTGGCAATTGTGTGAACATGCACAGTGCGATGCCCACTCTTTTAATTACTGAACATTCTTGCCATAAAGTGACACTGATTCTCATCTGATTAATATTTATAGTTTTTACTTTTGGCTAAATGCCAGGTATCTTTATCATGTGAATTTCTCTGGCTTTGCAGTTCCCTTTGCTGCCTCTCTTCCATCAGCTTACTTGTGTGAGCATATCTTTGTTTAACCCGGTCTAGGAGTGTCATGCATTTCTTAAACCACAAGTCTTCTATCCACTGAGGGGCTTTTGATTGGTAAATGTATCTAATTGTAAGTGGGCTGTGATGAATGTTATTTATGTGACTTAGAAAAACACTTGAGTGTTTACATTTGAGAGAGTTTTGGTCATGAGGACTGTTATGGTTTATATCTGGATTTCCTCCCACCTCCCAAAGTCTCAGGGACTCATAGGTGGAGCTTTTGGGAGGTGATTGGATCATGAGTGTGTGATGTGTATCAGTGGATCAGTCTACTGATGAGTTTATAGCTAAATGTGATGCTGGGAGGTGAAGCTTGGTTGGAGGAGGTGGTCACTGGGGGTGTGGCCTGGAAGGGTTTATCTCCCTCCTCCTCCCTTGATCACTCTCTGTGCTTCCTGCTCACCATGCCACGAGCTGTTTTTCCTCTGCCCTGCCCCTCTGCTGTGCTGCCCTGCTTTGGAGCCAGTCGACTATGGACTGAAACCTTTACAAACTGTGAGCCAAGATAAACCTCTCCTTTAAGTTGCGAGTATTGGGTATTATGTCTCAGTGATGAGAAAGTGACTAAGATAATGACTTTTATAATTTCTCAAAAACTGGTGCCTTTGGAGCAAAACAAAATAGGTATAAGATATATTTCATTTGTGCCTTCCTTTATGCCACCTTTTGATATCTTCCATTTGTTCATCTTAGGATCCTGAAATCTATATTCTGAAATCTGAGCCATCGCTTAACCAGTTATTGCAAAAAATATGCATTTTCAAAAACATTCCCAATGTGGGACTATGTTGGCCATAAAAACAATTACAATGCTTGCTATATATGATCATTTAAAAATATGCAAATTCGGGTGTACCAAAGGTGAGATATTTTCCCTGAAGCAGAAAGAGCATATATTTTAAAGGTTCTATCTTCAAAATCTCCTTCTTTTCTTTTCTTTTCTTTTTTTTTTTTTTGGTACCAGGGATTGACCTCGGGTCCTTACACTTGCAGGGCAGGCGGCGGAACCACTGAGCTAAATCCCTGGCCCCTAAAATCTCTTTATTTTCTATAGCACTATCAGTGCCACTGATCTCGTTTAAATCCTTGTAATTTTGTACTTGACTAAGTTCAACAGCTTCCTAACTGCTTTCCACTGAACTCACCCTCTTGTGTCTCATACTGCTCAGTGATAACTCAGTGCTCAGGTGGTCAGTGCTCCAAGGAACATCCTAGTGTCCCCAGCAGTGCTTGTTTGGTAGGGGACAGGGTGTTAGGCCCTATTCTGCACCAACTACAGCAGCTCTATGCTAACTTTTATGCTATTTGGGTTTCTTGTAAGATTTTGCTTAAGACAACTGCCTGGCTGCTTTGAAACACTATCTTCTCCTAGATACAATCCACGTTTTTGACATGGTAGTCTGACCCCTTCCCAACACATCTCTGAACCAGGGTGCCATCTTTCTTTTTCTTCTCTACAAAGTTTTGCTCGTACTGTGATGTCTTTTCTTAAAGCAACCTGTCCCCCACACTCAGATTCACTGAGGTATAAGTGACAAATAAAATTCGCATACATGTAAAGGGGACAAATGCAATGATTTGCTACATATGTATACATTGCAAAATGATTACACAGTCAAGCTGATTAGCACATCTATCACCTTGTATAATTACCTTTTTCTGTGTTAGTTACGGCAGTGAGAATGTTTGAGTCCTGCTGCCTTGGCATAGTCCAAGTACACAATAGAGCACAGTCTTTTTGTTCTAATGTTTGTGGTTTTGTTTTTGCCGTACAGGAGATAGAATTCAGGACCTGGTGCTTGCAAGGCAGGTGTGGTGCACTGAGCTATGTCCTGGCCCTTGTTTTAATCTGTTTTTCACTGATGAGTGATCTTCTGGGGACAGGAATCTATTTTGCCTCATATGTGGTAGGTGCTCATGGATTGTTTAATTAATAAAAATTTTCATTTTTGTTGCAAAGCCAGCAGCTGTAGCCGTGGTGACACCGTGGCAAAGGACATCTTGTGTTCCAAGTGTGCAGAGATGCACGTCCGTGAGGTTGAGGGGCCCTGGACACAGCACTGACCCCTCTGCGTGTCCTGACCTGGCCTGCAGCGCTGGACTCAGGCCCACCCCTTCCTAAGCAGGACGATGCTGTGAGCTTGTGTGTGCGGATTAAAGCTCACACCTGCCCCGAACTCTCAACTCTATGAAAGCCATAATTAAAGCTAGTTTTGGGTAATCATTGAAGAGGTTTACACAGTTTTACTCCTTTTCATCAACTGTGTCAAATAATCAACTGTTTTCTTTTACGTTTTGATAGGAAGATAATGACATTTAGTCGGCCAGCTATTTGGTGCGTGCTAACAACAAATTTTAGAAACTGTATTTAACCATGAAGCTAGTTTGAGTCAGCCTTCCTACCTAGAAATTATGATCATGAGATTTTCATTGGAGAAGATGAACTTACAGCCAATACCACAAAGTCATATTTTGGTGTAACTTTAAATAGAGGCTTTGCCAGAGGAAAGAAAAATGTCCAGAATGTAGCAGAAGAGAAAATTTCAGAAAGTTAATGGAAGATTTAGTTAAGAATTGGTTTGAAGATCTCAGTATCTATCTCTGTCTCTCTCAGAACTGCAGGAAGTAGTTGCTAAATTAAAGACTGCTGGCTTCTCAAGACTTACTAGATTCTGGAATGAGATCTAACAAGAAGGACGAGACTTTCTTGACTGCGTGATTTAATATTTCAGGTGTGTCTAGTCCTGGCCTCAGGTGTGGACACGAGGAATATGCGCTTTGTGCGCCACTTGCTATTCTGCAGAGCAGAAGGAAATTACATTTTTTGAGCTGTGATTAAAATGTTAACTCTCTGGCTCCTGCAGTCTGTGAAGGCTCACGGTGTGTGTGTGTGTGTGTGTGTGTG